ATTTAATGCTTGAAAAATTCTCGAATAATACCTACTGCTCCTAAATCCAAGGGCCAAGCCCGATAAGTAAGTACCACTAGTAAGCCAATAGATAAGTACCACTAAAGTTTGCTTCAAATTTGAATATGCAATACAGACAATCAATATGGATTGAGAAATATAGTGATTGCCACTGTGGTCTGGATGATGTATTGTGTCCACGATTCGAATGTTAATTGAAATTTAAAATGCAAGACTTGACGGATTAAAATAAGTATTTCATTTCCCTTTTTTCGTGCGGAAATCCCTTCGGAAATCCTTGGTGGGGTGGCTATGTCGGACTCGAACCAACTAAAACCGCACTCCATCTGGGGACCAGTAGGTGGGGAATCAGGTGTAACCCGGAAAGGAAGTCTATGTTGCCTCAACGAACCCCGCCATAGCCATTTACGGCTTACAGATAGCCCCCTCATTTGTGTGACCACCTGTAACCCTGCGCCTGCGCTTATGGAGGACGGAGGTCGTTCACCGATTTCCGGCGCCTGAGTCGCCTGTCGTACCTGAGCCTTGTTGCCGAGCTTCCCGACCGGGAGGGTTCTAAAGTTTCGGCCCCACTCGGCCCCCTCCTTCGCAAGCATATTTTTTTACATTCACAAAATAAGCAGAGCTTGTTCTATGGCTGCGAGACAGCTGATATAAATACATATATACTTTTTTTTGTAAATACATACTTATTATACATAGAAACACCCACACCAAATCAAACAATAAATGTTCATGCACACAAATGACAGTCCGTTACGCAAACCACTGCGCCATCTAGTTGTCAAATTGCTTGCAGTGGCAGGTGGCACTGTTCCACGCGCTCTCGTTCCGTGCCATAAAACATTACTTTTTTGTAATGTTTAAAAGATAAAGAACAGAACACAAAAGACTTTTTAAAATATACAATTCCTAAACCTTACGAGATAGACCTATCTAATGTACTAACATTAGATAGGTCTATCTCGTAAGGTTTAGCGTTTGCAATGTAAGCGCAAAAAAAAACATGTTTTTTGTAACGAATCTTTGAAATTCTCGGATTTTTCTATCGATAATAAGCATGTGTTATTTACATAAACCTTCCTAGTGAATCACTGTCTCTAATGGTGAAAACCGCATTAAAATTCGTTGCTTAGCTTCAAAGATCTTAGCGTAAAACATAAAAAGCGACTATTACACGCTTTATATTAGCTTCACTTGTATGTTTGTTTGTATGTTTGTAACCGACTCCTTTGGGCGTGATTTTGACTGACTTTAAACGGTCAGAATTCGTTCAAACTTTGTAGATATATCGAGGACCGATGACCATACACTAATTAAAAAAATATATATATAGTTTTAAAAAACTAAAAAACACGCTTTCTGTACAAAACCAAACTAAAAAATAGAAAATAAATTTGAAAAAAAGCGTTGGGTGCCTGTTGTCAATAGTAAAAGCACCCCTTTGTTTTCTATCTAATTTTCTCTATAATTTTTTTATACTATGTTAAGATATACATCGATGTGCAACTCTCGCTTTCTTGTATTGTTGGGAATGATTTCGTGAGGAAGAGGGATTTGATTTGACCAATTTATTTTAAATCTAATAAGACGCTTATACATCCAAAACTAGTTTAAAAAATAGAATGAAAGCGACTGCGACCTACTCGTATATCTCGTAAACGTACGTAAATAGTATTTACTAAATACGTTACGCAGTCGGTATGTGTTCTCAGTTGAAAAAGATTTTTGTGTTCAAAAGCTTATCAAGTAGCTCTTCTAATATCAATTTTTTTTTTTATTTTCATGATCATTTATAAATACCGAAAAAAATGCGTATTTCTTACCTTTTTATTATTCCCAGTACATGGGAACTAAAACTAGACCTTGTGTTTTTAATTTGTCTTTACTTAGGTGCATTCAAATGTTTTTATAGATGATCATTTGTTTTTACCGATTTTCATTTGTCTAGATTACTTATATAGATTTACTAGTAAAACCTAAGATATAATAATAAACAGGCTTTTACAGTAACATATACGTACATAAATATGTAAAACTGTAATCGATTTATGAATACAAAGAAATTATATCGATATCTCTTAAGAATTGCATATTGCAGTAATCAATTTCTTTGACTCCCTGCCAGTTCTTCAATCTGTCAGAACTGCCAAACAGTAGCTCTTATAGAAAGTATACAATTTTAATAAAGTCGCTTTTATTTTTGTTGATCTTTTAAACTAAGCAAAGAACTTTAATGCGGTTTTCATCAATAGATAGATATAATAGAGGAAATCCGAGAATTTCAAAAATTTGTTGAGTTGGTTTAAAACATGCTTACATTGTAAACGGTGGCTAAACTCTACAAGATAGACCAAAAGTAATGTATTATGGAGTTTCATATATTAAAAAGATCTACAAAGAGTCCGCGATGGTATATATATATATGTCTATCTCCTAAAGATAACCTACAGTAACCATTTTTATCAAAAAGTAATGGGTTATTTACAAAGCCATTTTAAACAATACATTATTATTCCTTATCTAAATAAATAATTTAGATACTTTGTGCATTTTATGTAAATTAAAATTGCTTTTCACAGCATATCATTAAAATGAATATTTTAGAAGATATTAGAGGTTTAAAATGCGGGGGCAAAGCGGCCGTCGCCGAATCGCCGCGTCGAAAGTATATAGTCGTCGAAAGTATATAGTCTTATCATAATTAAAGTATAATTAATTACTCCACACAGACACCACATTAGTAGTATTAGTAGTATCTACATTGCACCCGTGCGAAGCCGGGGCGGATCGGTAGTGAACTATAAAAGTACTTAATATTTAAAAAAATAGATTGTATCAGTATAATTTGTAATCTATTCTTATAAGATTGGCCCGACTAATTCTTTCTTATCTTTTCGTTGTATCGTTTCGTCGTCTTCTCGTTTTCGTTTTTTATGGAGATAAAAAACGTAAAAAATCGAGGGTAATAGTAAAAACAACACTTTTTTCCCATACAAACCATAGAGTAAATTAAAACAGCCGTTAAACATTTGACGTCAAACAAATAAAAGGCGCGTTTGGCTTTTTAATTGTGCCTTCAAGTTGACTAGGCTTAATGTACATTAAATGTATACCTACTAAAATAAAATTCGAAGAAAAGTGGTCACCCTGAAATAAGTTTTATTTATTTATTTTCTATCTAACTATCGATAGCGAAGTCTATCGCGTCAGCTAGTCTTAGATAGTTATAAAATACCTTATCTCTCTGCTACAGATGCAGACATAAACCCTAAAACATTTCAGGTTTATTAATGTACGGTCGCAGTCATAAGTCCAGTCGCACTTTTACGAAGTTATAGCATTATAACTAGTCGAGTTTATGAACTTTTCTATTAACGTATATCACACACACATATACACGTTACATGGGTATTATTATGGTAACCAGTTTCCAAAGTTAATAAATTAATAACTGTTCGTCGGGCGCTGCGGTGGACGCTGATTCAAATGGCGCCGTTTCAAAACTCATGCAACCTCACAGTAACTTTTTGGGAATTCATTGTATGTATGTGGTTATGAGTGCAGTATTGTAACGATCGTCGAATAATATAAATCAGATAAATCTGCCATTCAATATTTGAAACTAGTAGTCACTAACAGTTGAGGGTAGATTTGAAATAATAAACTATTTTATTGTTTCAAAACCACCCTCAACTCCTGACGTGGGTTAATGAACTTAGTTACGAGCATTTGTGTTATTAATTGCTACTGATGTTTATGTTGAATATCTGTAGGTCTTCAAATAACAAGCATAAAGCTTTATTCGGGCTTAATATCTGAAATATCCAACAAAACCCGCTTAAGTGTGATTTATTTTGTTTGATTGTGTGATGATAAGTGTGGTGTATGATAATATTTTATTATCTTAAAAATGTCTAAATTTAAATCTTATTTTATTTGAATATTTTTTTTAACCTGTCACCCCCAGGCCTGCGCTTATGGAGGACGGAGGTCGTTCTGCGACCTCCGGCGCCTAAGTCGCCTGCGGTACCTGGCCCGTTCCCGGGCCTGGCGGGCCGGGAAAGTTCTAAACCTCTCCCGGTCCCGCTCCGACGTCTCCTTGGCGAGCATAACTTGCTCGCAGAAGGAGATCCAGTGCGATCCCCTGATCTAAACCCTATAGGACTTTATTGACAACGTATGGTGCTTAGTGGCGTCTTCTTAGTTGTATTATGAACAACGGAGGTCACACTTAGTGTTAATAAAAATAAATATTATATTTGAATATAAATATCTTTTACTTTATAATTGCCAATTTAGGGGATGCGCTGGACGACATAGTAATAAGTTAGATTATGATTGTTATATGGAGGTTAAGATTCAATCTTGCTTTTCTTGAGAAAATGTACAAATAAAACTGTAAACCATAGAGGTTTACGGTTTTAATTGTGCCATATGAACAAATTGTATTAGCAACCAAAATGATTTATAAAAATATTAAACTTAGATGTGTTTATTTTCAACGTTTAGTTGGTTTTAAGGGTTTTTTTATATTAATTATCCGACAGATAAATTGTATGGTGACGGATTAATTATAATTTGTATTTGCTGAGAATCAAACCAACGACCTCTGGCTCAGCAGTCAGGGTCACTAACCATTAAACCAACAGGCCAGTCTTGATTAATTCTACATCTCGAAACTACAGTTCTCGCGCTGATCAGTACCTATAGGTATATACAAATGGGCCGCGCTCCCCACCCCTGCATGATCACCGCGCCTGCCGAAAGATTGTTCCTTCGTGTTGTAGGGACATAACCCCCGATCCTCCACTCATTAAGGACTGTTAAATACTATTTAACATACAACCACACATGTTCACATTTGATAGTAACGGATCGAAACACTACAACCCAATTACGTATCTAACTAAGATTGTTTCGTATAATACAGCGGTACGATACGGTGATTAAAGTGAGGTTTATATACTAGTCATGTGATGCCGTCTGTACCAGCTTCTCGTAACCACATCACCATGCATTCAGGACTATTGATCGTGGTACTCGCTACGGCAGTTACTGCTTCTGTAGCCCAATATTATTGTAAGGAGATTTCATGGGGTGAGTTTAAAATTAACGATTATTTACCTACCACACAAAATTAAAATTTTATTTAATTTTTTTTATATAAACTCGTCACCAATTTGTAAACCGATTTGAAGTAAGAGTTATTAAGTTAAAACATTCCAAAAGACAAATATGAAGGGTAAAATAACACGTGACAGAACTGGATCGGACAAGCGAATTATTGTTTGTAAAACAGATTGTCATGATGCAGATAGATATGAAAAAAATTTGGAGGATATCCTTCCCGTTTGGTCTCATTCACATTTGAAGAAAAAACCAATCCTAAGGGTAGAAGATTAAGGAATGAAGAATACGTTTACAATTCCTGATGATGTCGTCGCAATGACGTCTTTGGAACTAATAACATTAACTTTTAAAAGTACCACCGACTAATTATTGTAGACAATCCGCAGCCACTAACTCGCTTTTTACTTAGTTTCTCTCTGACATTGGGTATAATAATTACACCTATTGACGGAATTTCTCAGATTTCAATGGGAAAGAGAACATCTGTTAAAAGAATTAAATATGAATACAAATAATATTTGTGTTCCACCACATTTTGTAAGCGCCGACCTCAAAATTCTTTTTATTTCTTTCTTTCTGATTCCTGTTGTTGCTTTTCACCACCTGCTATCTCAATATGTAGTCACTAGCATAAAATTTGTCAGGTTTAGCCCTTAACAGTATTAATTGAACACTATCTATATTTTTATTGGGTTGTATACGCTATAAAAACTTCAACAACGATTGATCTCAAGTTTTGACACGATATACAACCCGCTTCAATATTATTTTTATCTATTTTTCGCGTCGCTTTTGTTTCCCATTTCTCATTAATGCAACTGCAATGTGGGACAGCGAAGCTTAGCACGGAACAGCTGGTTTTTTAATAAACTACAGTCCTTTTTTGTTTCTGGCAATGTATACGCAAAGATTACAATGTAATGTCATGTTTGTCTAGTTGTTGGTGACTCTGATTTATTATAACTTAAGTTGTTCATAAAGTTAATTTTAAATTATTTATTAATTGACAGGAACTAAGGAAGGACAGGCGATTGAGGAGCAAACGGTATATTTATCGGCTGCGATCCGCATGTGGGAAGTAGAAATACCGGTAAGTACTGAGAGAGTTCTTTGCTTTTCAACGAGCTCTGGTGGACTCAAAGGCCACTCAAAAGGTGGCAACGCTTTATGTCTTTTGACTTCCAGCAGTAGTAGCAGCAGTAGTGACTTACCATCTGGTGAAACGTTTGCTCGTTTGCCTTCTATGCCGTAAAAAATCTAAGAAGTATTTCGTGTAAATATAGCAAAACAAACGTTCGGTTTAGCTCGAGAACTAATGTTTATAAGCCGAAGTACTGGCTATAATTTTGTCATGAGCATTTTCCCTGGAACCAGAAAAAATGGAGTCTCGACACTTGTGAGTTCAGGAACGCGTGTGGTATGTCAGAGGTACGTTGGTGCAATGATAGAAGTCTTATACTTAACAATACAGCACTGGGTATTGACGGACGACGGATATGACGGATAGTGACGGATTAAAAATAAGGAGTGTCACCCTATTCATCCCGTGGGTGTCGTTTAAGCCGACCAAGGGAGCAAACTGCGCGGGACAACAGCACTGTAAAGAGAAGGAAAACTTGACACAAACCCTATATCAACAGGCCAACACCTCCTGTTAAGGAGAGGCCTATGTCAGCAATAGACTATAAATGATGATGCTGATGAAAACAAATGGTTTTATTCTAAATGTGATTATTATACTTTCAGATGGTGCCTCCATGTTCACAAGTCTATGGTGTTTCTTCTATTGTGTGCGACCATGACGTTGCACCAGATGGTCATTACAAAAATCAGAACCATTTAATAGTAAATCGCAAAGGAGACTTGCTGGCCCAAGCATCTGCCAAGGCTACGGTATACTGTGACCAGTGAATAAAAAAATAGGCCGTAAAATACTTTATACCGTACAAAATTTAAACTTTAGGTGTTTATATCGGAAATTGCAAATATTTTTTTTAAAGAGCTTGCCAAGACGAGATATGCAGAAATCAGTTTTGTCCTTTCTTTGATCTAAAGCTAGTTCTTACACAATTTATTCAAATTTAATCCATTTTTACCACCTAAATATCAACTTATGTACTTTGTTCTGCTCAGTTCTGCCTATAAATAAAATACCAAGTATATGTTGAGTTTTTTTTACTACGAGCACCACTCATATACTCTTCAATCAATGTTAGTCATTCACTCTTCTCTCATCCTTTCAACATGCCTTAATCATCGTAGCATTTCATTCTGATTTTTGTCACTATCGTACATCTCCTTTCAACCTGCACCGTTTTCTTACCTTCTCCTTGATCTCATACTTGTATCCATCACGAACGGTATTGTGGAGATACGTTTGACGACCTCCAGTGGTCCTCGAGGTCCTGAGGATAACAGAATCGCAACCTCCTCCTCTGTGTTCTGTTTTAAATATAAACTCTCTATAGCTTACAAGTAATAGCGTGTCGCAGAACGAGAAGAAAAGACGAGAAGGTATTTTTAAGCTTTTATTGCTATTTCTGAATCTGTGTAACGTTGTGACGGATTGAGTATTAATATTTTACAGGGTGAGCTTCTGCAATAAAGTTTGCTGTCAAAAAATCTCCAGTATACAATTTGTGATGGTCTAAGGAATTTAGTTAGTCCATATTTATGCCCAGAGGCTTCAGGCTCATTTCCCTTATATACTGTCTACCTTTGACTGTAGGAACATATAAGATGTCTTATGTATTTATTTAAACTACCATGGTCATTTTTACTTGATAAATTATTAACAAAAATCAGGTCATCCGTGATCGTGGCGCTTGCAACAGTGCCGAAATATGGGAAACTAATTCCAACTCTTTAGGGTTTATTACTTATAAGACATCTTTAGGAACGCAGTCGGTTTTGCAGGTGTCGGTATATATTTACCAGCTCATTATTCCTCCTCATGTACAGGCAATGAGACCTCAGGACGCAATTAACCTTTAATATGAGCTAAAAGCTGAATAGACTCCAAAACTACTGGACTGATTTTAACTATTTTCATATAATTCACTAATAGAAAGCTACATTATCAGGAAGTAACATAGGCTATTATTTATTTCTAAAAAACTCAGACATTAACTTAACTTACCAGTTCAATATCCACTACATACTTTAGATTCATTTTTTCGTGTGATAATATGAATCCTTATAAAATTATTTATAATAAGTATTTCATCATCGAGATAATTTAAAGTAGATATTTTTTTGTCTGTACATCATTAAAATTGTTCAATTCGTTAAGCAAATATCGTTTAATTATAAACATTTAATTTCGAAGTTATCATGAGTTTTTCCTAGATCACACAACTGAAAAGTATCTTTAGATCTACACCCAAATTTAATTCCTGAAGTTAAAAGTTTTAATCCCAACAATGATATTGAGGAATTTATAAACTCCAAACCTATAAAATAATATCAACAACAGTTTTAATTATTTATTTTCTTAAAAAAGACAACTCCCGCACTAGGAATATATCCTGTGTCGCGGGGGACTTTACAAACATACATGAAACGGACACAAAGAACATACAGACTTAGAACAACAATTTGTGGATCACACAAAGTGTCGTCCCATGTGGGGTTTAAACCCACAACACTCGGTGCAGTAGTATTGCGCCATCCGTGCAGTCAAAAGTATTCCAATGATACCGACGGATTTGCCCATATTATTTAAGAGGCTTCAGTTCCCGGTTAAAATATCATTTGCATTAATTATTAATAAGTCCCAGGTACAAATATTTTCATTGGTCGGCATTGACTTGAGAAAAGAGTGCTTCTCCAATGGACAACTATGCGTTAGCCTGTCTCGCGTGGGATCTCCGAACAATCAATTTATTTTGCTTCAAACGAATAGTACATCAAATATAGTTTACAGAGAAGCCTTGCAATGGTACTTTATAGGTATTTGTTTTACGGCAGAAAGCTTTTATTTTATTTATAACTAAATTCACTTTAGGACTAATCTCACTAATATTGTAAATACGAAAGTTTGGGTGTGTCTGTGGTGTGCGTTACCCCAGCAAAATAATGTCGAAAATGGTCATTTAAACTTTATAGATAATTAGTTGCTCCCCTTCTGTAATTGGACGTAGTTACACGATAGGGATCCAATCCACATGACGCTAGTTTTGAGATATTTAACTTTAAAGTTTAGGTCGTAATTCTTCTATGATGCGGTACCATAAATTTGTGGGTTTTATTAAAATTAGTAGGAAATCTTGTTATATTTTAACTATAAATCAAATTCACTAAGTTTGATTTCATATTTTCAATAATATTCAAGAAAATAGGGGCTTGGATCCTTTTTGATATATAGTATTCTCAATAAGACCAGCATAAAATGATAGTTTCGCAGTAAAGCTCCACTGCATCAACTGCTAACGAAATCTTTAAAAATAAATAAAATAACTAATAAATACACCTAAAACTGTATTATTCTTATAACATACCTATCAAGTTAAAAAAAAACAATGGATAAAAAATGAAATCAATACTGTTGATAACATAATTAAACTGTAATCAAAACAAAACTCTGCATAGTCATTATAATGCTCATTCTGCCTGACTTTCATTTTCAATCTGAAAATCAAGCTGACCGCTGAATCCTTCAAGATCATCCTCTATATTTTTATCCCCCTGAAGAGACTTGTAAAAGTCTAAACAGTCTTTCGGAATTAAGTGGAACATTGACTTCAGATCATCCAGTTTAGGTTGAGCGATTTTTTTGCCTGTAGGCCACAACATGATAAAGTAGTTTTCAGAAAATTCTAAAGATTTGCCTTTCACTTTCTTCTGTATATTAAGTTCACTATTTAAGGTATATTAAGGTCATTATTTATTCACTCTTCATAAAAATAATATATTTCTCTTCTTTCTTTAATGAAATCACTTTTGTTTGTAGCCAATTAGTTTTCTGCTTGTTTGCAAAAGTTTTTCTGTTTACTATATTTTTTTCAATATTTTTTGAGCTCAGGAAGTCCTCTTTAACCATTTTTTTAACTTCGAGCGGAGTCTTTCTTTTGGAACTCCTAATGACTTGCATATACTCGTCAGCAGTGTTAATTCGTTGATGAAATTTTAATTGGCTTTCAATTTTGGAAAAATCAGTATCATTGGGCAGGAAAGTATGACCTGATTCAAGGTATTTTAAATCTATTGTCCTCAGAGTATGGTGCGAGTTTAACATTACCTTCAACATCATTACGATTTTTATATTGCGGTTTTGTCCGCCACAGCAATCACTCCATAACACTAAGTGTTTTACTTTTGGGTCAAGTTTGTACTTTATGAAATTGATCAAACATGACCCGACTTCTTGGGCCCCTCGACCAGCTTCTCCTTCGATCCATATGTATCAATGACCAGTATTGTTAGAGCCGGCGTGGATGCCACAGTTATACAACCACAATTGCCTTTTATAAAAAATAATGCTGGTTGGTATACGTGGGAATGGAAGTGTTTTATCTAAGTCGAATGTTAAGCATTCAAATTCTTCGTCAGTTTTTGCCTGTGCTATATCTTCGTTCATATATTTTTTCAAATCTTCTGCTTTTTTTAGTTGAATGTCTTTTTCATGTTGTAACTTTTCTTTCTCTTCATCTAACAAACAATTTATTTTTATTAGTGAAAGTATCACACCTTGTGCAAGTGTCCTTTTTTAGTGTCTTGCAGCGTAAATTAAAATATTTATAAAATATGCGTTTTACCGTAGCCAATGACAATGGACTCTTCGAACTGCCGTATACATTCCCAAATTTTTCCAAGTATAACTCATATATTTTTTGTATCGTCATTCCTAATTTGAAATACATAACACCATTACTTTGTTCTCTTCTATAATGCGATTGATATTTAGGTAATGAGCTTATGATATCCTTAACGAACTCAATATCTACCATCTGAGTTTTAGTCCAATCACCTTGTGAAAGTCCTCTTCTGTCTTTAATCATGTACTCATATCGATTTTTTCGTAGAGAAACATCAATCTTTTTAGTTGTTATTTGAAAATTATTCAAAAACATGGGTTTACAAACTTCAACCCCACATATAGTGTATTTTCTTGAGTATTCTCTGGGTTTTTTCTTATTTGTTTTATTTTCTTTAGTGACTGTATAAGATCTTGTTTTGGGTCTTTCTTCTACATTATTTACTATATATAATAATTGGGCTTCATAAGAGCCCAAATTTTTGGAATTCTTCTTCTCTTTTTTCTCTTGTAATTAACTGGTTACATTGTTTGATATTACAGGTAAAATTTTGAAATTTTTTTGGCGGAATATATTTTTTCTTTGAATAATATGGTAAGTTTAAATATCTCCGTTGTTTAGTTTGAGCAACAGTGTGATTTGGATATATTTATTTTCTACCTTTTTTTGGTAGACCTTCTGAAGATAAATTCTCTATTTCTTGTTGTGTAGTAGCATCATTTCGAGTTTCATTATTCGATTCACATTCTATCATATCACTGTTATCTATAACTTCAACATTGGTATTAATGGTCGTCAGTGTGCGTGATATGTCATTAACAATTCTTTGTTTCTTTGAACTATGCACTAAAGCAACAACACTCAGTTGTCTCGATGAACCTAAGTCTTCTTCATCACTCGCATTTTCGTCACTATTTGGTATAAAATCTGAGTCCGTATCACGATTGAAGTCACTTATTGGTGTAATAAAACAATCAGTTTCTGTAACTTCAGAATTGTGTTCGTTGTTTTCGGAAAAATTGTCAACTATATTTATTTCTGATGGACTTTGTCAGGCAAAGTTTGTAGAAGCTCCAATGTACTAGGAGACATAGGGCGTAATGGCAACGACAATAGAATATTGTAATCGGTTGTGTTAAATGTTTGTTTTATTTT